TTGTAATCAAAAAGTTTACAACGATTGACAGAATAATTGACAAGTCTATTTTTTGTTTGATTCCTACTAATTGCCTTCTTGTTGTTTTTGTATTTAATTGCGTATTAGAAGCTTTAATTGAAAAGCATTTGTTTTCGTTGGCACATATACAAACAAACATTTATCTCAGAATGTCTCCGTAACTATTGCACAAAGCACTTTATCATTCTTCAATGAATTAAAATAATGTTTTAGCGAGTAGAAATAAAGGTCAGTAAGAATAAAGGCCAGTGAAACGTGCATCGGCTACGGGGTACTCAATCATTCTAAGACCACTAATCAGAAATTGCATCTATATCATTCTTAGTTTGAACAATTAGAAGTGTATTTATTTATATTGTGTACGACCGTATCGAAATCAATTTGAAATACATTAATCTTTCATTTAGCAAAACATTTTTGCGTTATCTCAAACTGAATATGATGGTATGATAACCGTCACTATACCTTTAGAATGCAATGTAAATCAATCATCAATATTTTCTTATTTTAAAGATTATTTACATTACTGTATACAATAAATCTTTAGTTTTATTTGTAACCAATAAGTAGTAAAATTTCAGACTAATTATATTTTATGGTGTGTTTAAGAATCTGCATATATTCTTATACACATAATTCCACTTGAAATACACTCAACAGTACATTGGTTTATCCAACATTTCGTTTCACCAAAGGCTTTTAAGCCTCAAGTTATTAAAAGTCAAGTTCTTTCACAGAAAAGTTTCTCGTTGGTAATCTGGTGTGTATATTGCAACTATTTGGATTAATATATAATAAAATCCGTGTTTATGAAACTGATTATTGAGATAATGAAAATGTAAAATGATGATTGCACGTCATAATTGGGCACAATAATCTATAATCGATTTTCAGTTTAAAGTAATGGTGAGCTCATCAACCATTCATGGTTAATTAGTATTTGCTAAATAACAATGTGAATATCGCAAGTTAGCGATCTGTCAAAACCATGACGAGAGTATAATTTGAATTGCTTTGAATCATACATTATGAAATTATTTGATTTTCTGATTGATCTTTTATGTCACTTTCTTTATAATAATTGAAAGTGACATCTGTCTCGGTTATTTGTGGTTTGGTTTTTTCTTTCCAGTAAAGATGTACCTTGGATCTTATTTTTTACCAACCCATTTGAAATAAAAATTTCTAAGAATATTTCTAAGTATAGATAAAGTATATAGTATATTGATCAAATTTCTTGTTTTTCGCGAGTCCATGCCTTATAAACAGTAAAGCCAATAACACATCGGGGTGTACAAAACTGTCACACTTTTCCGATCGTTTTTAACTCATAGGGTGAGTAAAATCTACTGATATATTTATAATATTACTGTAAATCATATACAATTTATAAAATGAATGCGTTCCATGTGCCGCTTTATTTGTAAACTTTTGACGTTGACCAGCGAATTACATACATACAATGAATCTACATCAATAACTCTACATTTACGAGAGAGAATCGTTCTAAATAATTATGTTTATTTTTAAATTGCAAATGAAATTAACTCAGTATATGTTTATGTAGTAGGCTTACAGTTTATTAGGCAACTGCTTTTAGCTGAACATGATATTTTTAATAAATAATGTTCGTTTCATTGTAAATAGTGGGTAAAAAACTTTATCATATTAATATATATTTTTTTATTATGAAAAACCCTCGATCGAGTAATTTTTTTTGTAGAAATTAGTTTAAAATATAAATTACAATTGATATTATGCATACATCAGTGGCTCAGTCTTTTGTTTATTACATTTTCACTTCTGAACCATTAAATTATTTTTAATGAATTTTCAATATAGTGATACTATGGACCTGGAAAAAAGTGGAGGGGTGTGAAATACAATATACGGAGAACGCAACATTTTCTTGAATTGGATAAAATCATAGCTTATTTGTAATGTAACTATTTTAGTGTTAGCTGGTCTTTACATTGTGTCGAAAAATAGTTTAAATAATGTGTCAACTGAAATCAAATACTTAAATGAGATCGTTTCGGATCAGATAATGTTTATAATGATTTTATAATGAAAATTTCATAGTCATATTAGATTGTCTACTGTATTTTAGATTCGTCACCGCGGTGAAGGATTTCATGTAACTCAAAGCGACTATCAAAAGTAATATCTGTTACGGATTTAATTTACATTTTTTTCTATTCACTGAAAAATGAGTATATTAGTATATGTATGATGGTTCAGTTGTTTGTCGAAATCGCTAAGGATTTCTAAACTAAGGAGTTTCAATTTGTTGTAATATTATTTAAAAGAAAAGAAACATTGAATGTTCCGTCATTCTAAACTACATCCGCTGAAAACTAATGGCCTTGGCTTTGTTTTACATTCATCAACGTTTGCAATGTTTTGCAGATATTGATAATTGTCCTTTTTTATTATAATATGTAATATATTCGTAATTTGTTAGTGACATGTTCTATCTAAATGTTGAAACTTAATAGCTAAGTTCCTTGCGTCCATTTTTATTGTCAGCCAAAAACAATTTCGACTTTTTGAAAGATTTTTTAATAAACTTACTTGAATAAATAATATTTCATTTCAATAAATTGGCTAGACCCATTCATTTTGTTTTCGAAATTCGTATTTTTTTTACTATGTGACATGTGACTAGCAGTGACAGTCTTATCGAATCTCTTTGGGGTCGACAGAAGGTCCGTCAAACGTGTAATGGTAGTTTGTATACGTACGCGACAGATCGATCATCCATCGAGTGTGCATGGTTCATAGCATAAGTATTTAGTATAGCATATCTTAATGAAAAATGGGATCCCATCTCAGCGTACCAGGGATTTTTTTTAAGCATTTTTCATTAAGAATACTTTCCTCTGTAGCATTGTGTATGCAAAATTGATCAAATATAATAATATAAGTATTAGTTGTGAATTCTAACCGCGATACACCAACCCTTAAATTGCATTAGACCTAAACGAAATTTTAAGTTAAAAAGAACTTTTAAGTTTAGATAAAATTTAAGTAATTTGTTGTATATTTAGCGTATCATATACTTATTCATTATTACAACATTTTCTTTAATAACATATGTAGTTAATACTTCATATGAGAACTTTTTCAAAAACGTTCGACACTGAATTGCCAGTATTTAATTGCTCAATGTTGAATTTATTTATAGTTTTATAATATCATGGCAATAGATCTTACAAATTAGGTGAGACCTGTTTTATGTTTATGCGACAGTAACGCGGATCTAGTCGGTATTTTGTGACGCCAAAATACCAAAGATTTGTTTGTTTATTTGAGACAAAATTCCACCGTGAATGTGTTAAATATTATAGAGCAAAGTTTATATTTCTTGATGTCTAATTGGGCGCTTTTTCATTCATCATCTCAAAAACTTTTGTTGGGATAATTTCTGTAGGAAAATGATTCGATAGACTTGATGAAGTTACAAAACTATGAGTAGAATCTGAGTGAAGCCGCAGCCGACTGTTTAATTATATGTATGACATTGGTGCAAATTCTTTTGTTTTCTTTTTTGTACCATTCAGTAACTAAACAAAGAATGTGACTAATTTAGGTTTGTTTTAAAATATTCTATAATCATATGTTACAAATAAAATACAATTATATTCCTGTATTCATTATAATCGAAAACGCAATTTGACAGTAGCCCTGTCTTAAATTTAGTCTAGTTTGTGGAAAAGAACTACTACCAATGTTTTGTACAAATACAATAAATCGCCTACTAAGAAGTATTTCTATGTTATCTATCCAATTTAAATTCATGGTAATTAAGGTTTTGAGGAATCTGGTAAACATCTTGTTTTTTAAAAAGTTAATAGCTCAACGAAGGTAACAAAATTATACAAGGTTTGTTGAACTATGTATTTAGTCGGAATTTATTTTTAGCAACAGACAGACACATAAAGCTTTGAAAGATTTTGTACATCAGTGTTTTCCTTATTTATTTTGTGACGAATGATATCTCATTAGAATAATTAGAATAGTATATCGGACATCATAACGATGGAATCAGGATATGTTAGAGAGATTAGAAAAATTATAGCCTATGTCAACCGGGCTTTGTAGCTTCATTTGTCGGAGCCTATTCTAGTCAAACAAACAAAACATTTCCTCTAACATTAGTATAAATAATATTATATAAAAATTGCATGTATTTCCTCTTGATCCTAAAATAAACCTAAATAATTATTGTATTGTGGAAATCTGGAAATGAAAAATATAAAAGATAAAATGTATCACTGCACTCAGACCTGACATAATATGATTTACACCAGCGACATAAGATAGCAGCAACCTTGAAACCGACGTGTGAGCCAATCGGCCACGGAGAAAATAGTATTCTGCAGTTTCAACTTTTGGAAAGAATTGATATCTATTTTTTATTCAAAGTTACTTTGTGCTTCTAACTTAAGGTTTAATGTAGAAAAGAATACTAAAAGAAGTCTCTACTTTTAAAATATTAACTTCGTCATACGTCAAGTAACTAGTTCTTGTTCACTTTCAACAAATAACAAAAGTCTTCACGGACTGACAGCTATGCTTAAATAACAAAAGTTCAAATGTGTGTTGATAAGTTCGACTGGTGAAGACTCGTTATGAGTAGTAAAAGCGATAGCTAATTGAATATTTTAAGCATAGTCCAGATGGCTAAAAATTAGAAAGTAAACTAGATTTATTATTGATTGCTATTAGTTTTTGCATTTGTTTATATTTACTGACTCTTTATTAATTTATTCCTATCAGACGTAACGCCTTGCAGCTAATGATTCACCTTAATAATGCAATATTTCAAAATAACATTTACTTACTATAGAAAGTGGAGTATTTTGAAGAATAGCGTAACTGTAGCGTATCATGATGAATAATAATTAAAATATTTAATTACTAAACACGAAAGATAAAACGGTGCATAATTTTAATGAACATCATGCATCACTCACCGTGCTTTTGGTATCCATTGTTTACACCGTCTATGCGGTTCGTGTTCTCTAGTAAGTTGCACACTATTATTACGTCACAGAACACTGCATTCACTCGGTCCACATGTCTAGGGTGGTAACAGTCGCGGATCGTCAATTGTTTCGAGTTTTCCTCTCTCGCCCTCTCCGTGGCCGGCCGTCACGAGACGCGCCTGATCCAAGCGGCAAAGCGACTAGAGTCGTACTGAGAGTGTTGCAACAATCGCCAAGGTTTATATATGAGGTTGCATACCGCCGTTCATTTTAAGAATTTTGCACTTTTTTTCACAAATATAATTGAATCATTAATGCTTTTTAATTGAATAAGTTTTTACTTCAGCTACTCATCTCAATATTTAATGATTTATCGTTTTGTTATTGGAGATTGTGACGCATGGAGGCTCTATTCCGGGAATCATATTGTTCAAGATTGCTGGTGTCAGCTGTTATCATCCATCTTGTCATTTGATTGATATTTAAAAGCCCAGTCCATATATACTCGAGCTGAAATTTGAAAGAGGTATCGTCTAATAACAAAATATTATTTTACTCTTCATGAAAATATCTCTATAGGCTACTTTTTTCATGTCGAATATGAATGATGGAGGTGACATTAGAATTCTAACCATTCAGCGCCTACTGGTGTGAGAACGTTCATATGCTTTTTTTATAAAAGCAATTCCAAAAATCGTTTCTTCCGTATTCTTCGGAGCAGGACAAAGTAAGTTGTGTGTTTATTCTCAAAATTTTCGCGAATTTTTTACAGGTATCGTAGTCATGAAATGACACGTTTTTATCAAGTACACTTTTAATTTGGTACATCATAAAGACAACTGTTTCTTATTTTAAAAATTTGTTTTTCAACAAACCTGTATTTTAGTCATAGTTCGAAAGTTATCGACAAAATACAGCGTAACAAAAAAAGATTTTAATTAAAAAAAGTATGACTTAAATGACAAACGTTACAAATTGTTTGAAACCAACTTTCCTCGATTACCAATACATGCTACCAATTTATGTGTTGATGCTATAGGCCCGACAGGAAAATTATAAAGAAGTAATACAGAAGCTTCGTCACGTTGCATACGGCTACCATGACGTCGCTCCCGATTGCGCTTGCGCAACGGACAAGGACAGTTTGTCCGCATTTGGAATTGCATTACAGGAATCTCTGTCATATGAAATTCTTTGCCTTTAAATCATAATATTAATCATATCCAAAAAAAAAATCAAGCAATAGTTACAGTAAAATAAAAAAAAAAACAAGTATATTTAAGTAGGCAAGAGATTGCCCGCTGATTGATATACTTCGTTAGTCCTAATAACTTCAATTAATATATACAAGTTTCTCTATGGAATTGTAAAAATAATAATAATAAATTTATTTTAATGTGGATAAAGTGTTATAAAATTCATTACTCATGTTTAATAAATAATAAGATAATTGACAATAACATGTTGACATATGCTATCCCTCCCTTACAATATTGTTTTAGTATTTTGTGTTACCAGAATTAGACCTACATAGGTTCGACATAAATTGTTGGATACATATCCAACAATTTATGTCGAATAAATAAATTATTAATTACAAATGCTGATACCGTTGCTTTTCTGCTACCATTTTTTGTATCTTTCATTATTCAAATAACATTCGAAATCAACAGGAAAATGGTAATCTAATAAAGATCATCGTGTCTTTGAGTATAAAAATATGAAGTAGTATTTGAACGTCACACATTTGGTATTTTACCTGATAAATACTTGTGTATTTTTAATAATATTTATTATCTTGATAAATACTTGTGTAAGTTTTGTACAAAAAAATATCGTCCAAATAATAATTAAAAACATGAAAACTATATCGTATTTTTAGGGTACTGTCATAGCCAAAAAGTGAATTTATTGAATTGGTCTCGTTAGAGAATAGCATAATTGTTCCTAATATTAACCATTTTTTCCATTTCTTATTTAATCATACCACTATTTTATAGGAAGTATTGATATAATATCTTTGTCACTTTGTAACCGAAGGAATTATGTAGCACTTTTATAATAAACGTCGTATTTGACGAGTAATTAATTTAAAATATTTTAGTGGCGCAATCCGTCATCCTCTGTTACTTGCTATCTATCTCATGACTGGCGGAAAACGATAGACAGGTACAGTCCTTTGGCTTTACGTCCCCTCTGATAATGTGTTTTCGTCAACATATATTTTTGTTTCTAAAATATTTAATACATTTTATTTATTTTTAATTTTATTTTTAATAATTAGGGAACAAACTTTTTCTTTTATTACGACATAGTTTTTTGTTTCTCAACGTTATTATGAACTGTAGACGTTGAAGTTTATTTAATCATCTTCTCAAATACTACCGTATGACCCACACAATGTTTGAGTTGAATCTCGAGTACAAATGATTCGAGCATTCCAAATATTATGTACATAACTAGAGATTTCATATTTGAAAATATAGAATCGATTTGAATGTATTTGAATATACATGTAATTGTTATTTACATAGAGGCAACGTAAATGATGGTCCTTTCAAAATTTTAATTTGCACGTGGTTTAAATAATATATTGTTTAATGTCTCAATTTATGAATCTTCTTTCGTATATTTAATTTATAATTAAATCTATTATATCTTTTTCTGGAGCGTTGCTGTTTTTTTTTCAGATTTACAGCCAAGAGATGGCGTCAGAGTTCTTAATTTGATGTTTTTTTTTTTGCAAAGATAAGGTCTTTTGTTTATTTGACAGGTTTTAAACTAACATAAGTCCTTTTTGAAAACATAATTTGAAGACTAAACGAAATATGTACTGTACATATTTTAGTAGGTAACTGATCTAAAGTTTTATCAATCAAGTGATGTATCTGGTGATAAAAAAAATATTATTTCGAGCTACTCCGTGCTTCATCATAAGGCACGTTAAACCGTTGATCCCGGCTTTATTTGCAGTCGTTAATGCATAGTGCCAGCATGGAGGATCATGGTTCATCCTTCTCAACCAGCCATAAGGAAGGCCTGAGCCCGAGCAGTGGGGAAGGGTTGATGATGATGATGATGAAGTATCTGGTATATACAAGATATCTCAGGTTATGAACTTATCCACAGTGAGGAACTTGATATTTTAATTTAATTATACATCATCGTCATAGTTTTCACACTTCAAACCTTTATTTTTAACCTTTTTTGTTCCTCTGTCAACAATGAGGTCAAAATACTTTTCGATATTTGTTTAGTTGTACGTGATGTCAATGCTTAAATATCAGTGGTTCTTTTTTTATACGTGGATTAATAAATTAATACCTGGCTAGGAGCTTCCATAAGATATTTAATAATATGTATTGCGACATACGTCTAGTATTACGTTTCAATAAACTCTACAGAGTTCATTATGAAACCATCAAGAATCATTAGTTTGTAATATTAATTGATATTAAAATATTTGTAATGTATATTCAAGTCCACGATACTTATTGATTGGTGAAATATTAAAGTTGTTTACATCATCGTATGTTAGCTACATCCTTATTGTAACTTGATTGCTGGCTCACTGTCTATGAACTGGATTTTAATTACGGATGTTAGCCGAATTTCGAGATCTACACTTTGTTTTTTTTTTTCACAAAAAATATTAATTCGCAGCGTGGAAATAAATATAGTGATATTGATTGTCGTCCCAAGTCGTTTGCCGGTTCCATTGCAAATTCTCGGAAGAATGTGTTGTTTGTACGAAAGCTTTTTTTTATTTATGGATAACAACGTTTTCTTATACTATAAAATTGTGAATATATAAACTATAGTTTCGTATAAAATTAATATTACTCATCATCATAAAACACATATCAAATGATACTTACAAGGAGTAGTAACAGTCGTCATACGTTATGTCCTTTTTCTTTACTTATTCGGAAACTTCTTAGTGATATTAAGAGACATTAGTCCTATACAATTAATTGCTTGCTCGTTTGAATTGAAGTTTTCACATACAAAAACTTACGACTAGATTATAGGCGTTCAATTAATTTTTTATATAGGTATGATTTCAATATTTTTTCAATCATATGTATGAAAGGTTCTACAGCCATGTACTACTTGAAGAAGTTAATGTAATAATAATAATTTAAATTTCATTGATACTGCGTTGAAGTCTTTTGTTCTTGAGGTGTAATATAATAAGATGTCAATGGTTTTCCTTCATGTGTTATTTGTATCTAAAGTTAATTTACTTGTTTGGTATGTTTTTTAGTTAAGTTTGTTACATTATAGTCTACAGCACCCGCGTATAATGCAGTTTCGCATAGGTGAAAGATTGATTTATGATCGAATCAGTATTTGCAAAGATTATTCTCTACAAACAATAAAAGCTAAGTGCGAGTCGGACTTGCGCATGGAGGATTCCGTACCGAAAACGAGCAGAAAAATCACGTTTGTTGAATGGGAGCACCTAAATTATACATAGTCTACCCCTCCTTTTACAAAAATAAAAATAGTAATGACATTTTTTGTTGATCGCAACCAAATAGTTTTATTCATTAATAGCTTTCCGCCAGCGGATTCGCTCGCGTGGTCCCTAGGAAACTTTTCAGTGGAATAAAATGTTGGAATAAAATGTATTCCATATATTCATTCAGGTTTAGGATTTAATTTGATTATTCATTTGGATAAGGTTTTATTTCATGACATGGATATAATGACAACGACAGATTGAATATTAAACAATGGTTACTATGGTACCGTTTTAATACCCTATACAATGTTCCACTACCATTATCATCCCCATATTTACAGTAGTAACAAAGAAACAATCTAATATTTCCTCGTTATAATATTAGTATATGATCAGCCTGTTAAGTGTCACTGCTGGGGCATAAGCCTTTTCTATGACCATTTTGGTTGGTTTTAATGAATCCAGAATTCCAGACACAGCCGAAATCAAGCTTCATATAATGACTTTTTGGTCACCCATCCCATGATCGCCCCTTGCCATAATAGCTTAATCTCCGCATCGCAGATCGAACCCTAACCATATTATTATAATTTGTAAAATTCCCCTGCTCAATGAAATCGACTTTAATTAAGATTAATAAATTGTCCCTTGTTTTGACAAAACACTACATTTTTCACTAATCATGTTCCTTTGTATAAGACAACATGAAATTATGATTGGATCCTTGAATTCATTATGCAATTTA